TTCATTTGTAGAACAGGAAGTCAGTTTATGATTGTCAAGTCAGTGAGGCCCACTTAGTTGGCAGGATTAGGCCCTTACTGTGGACTAAAACTGTCTGTTCAGATCGAATCCTTTACAAATAGAGTGCCATTCAGTGTAACTTACATTATTATCATTATTACTAGCCAGTTGCCCATCAAGAATGTTTCTGTCAGCCAATCAGAGTGCAAATAAAGCATTATGGACAGACAGACAGACTTAGGCTTTTATAATATTAGAATTAAGCAAGGGTCCCAAAATGACACCATTCCATGTGAAGAGCTGTAAATGTAGTTATTTGTATGATGGTGGTATTCTTTGTGGGAATTTAGACTGAGTGGAGCAGAATCCAGGTCCAGGCCTTTGTAGGAATGTGTTCTGGATTTTTCTGATTTTACTGTTCTAAATATGAAAATACATTGAATCAGTGCATTGTGTAGTGCATGACTATTTTTTGTCTAATTCATCATTTTAAGTGCATTTCAGTACTTTAATAAACTACTGAATTATCAGCACTGGAAGCTGAATAAGTATAGTAAGAGCAGTATAAATATAGCACTGAAAGGGCCCTGGGGTGGCCAGCCCCCACTTCCACCGTATATCTACACACACACACCATATTTACTCATATATAAGACAAAGTTTTTTCCCCCAAATCAGTATGTATTTGTACATAGGAAAACCTCCACATTAAACACACTGCCCAACATTAAACTGCTGCCAGAAGCATCATGTGCTCTGTGATGGAAACTAACTATGGAGTTGAATGCAGATCACACTGAGCATACTTAATGTTGTATCTTGGGCCAAATCAGCCAAATCAGTTCTGAATTCTGTTGTCTGAGAAGAGCTCAATTGTTCAGGTCTGTGTGGCGCTACCACTGGCGAGTATCCTACCTCCCACACTCTTCAGTCTTTCAGATACTCCCAAATCCATGGCATGGGAACTTACCACACAGCTGGGTTAGCACAGTCCATCTCAGTAGTGTCCACTGTGCACAGTTCCTCAGTGCTGCCTCTTTTTCAGTTCATGGTGAACCACTACGTCAAATACATTTCAACTTCCTCTTCACTCCCACTCCCATGGCTGAGTCTCAGCCCTGCCTGGCTCAGGTGTCAGCCCTTTCTGCTCTTTGGGCCCCGGCCCCTCGCGAAGTGTCTCAGGCCTCAGGCACTCCCATTGTGACCTCCATACTGCTCCTCCAGCCACAGGCCAGTCCCTTTGTAACTTAAACACAAAAGACCAACATAAGCCCATCAGTTTACGATGTAAGGTTGTTCCCCCCCCCCACCAACATTAGGTCTGTTAGCAGTACAAGTGCCGCTCTATGATATCAGCAGAAGCTCCTCTTTATCAGAACCGGAGTGATGATATCACACTGGCTCCAGGATGAGCTTTTATGTCATGGAGCTTGCCCCCCAGTCACATGGCTCTCTTTAGCTCTCTTTCTAAAGTGTCCTCCTTTAGCTCAGTGAGCTGCCTTCTTCCCTTTGCTACAGCTTGCACAGCTGAGTTGCTTGCTTAATAGCTGGCCTATGCTCAGCTGCCATCAGTCACCCAAACACAGCTCGAGCATCTGTTCTCCTTCTGAAAATTACAGGGGCCTTGCTTGGCTCCCCGTTACATATACCTTATTTCAGTATAGGGGGTGTGAGGAGAGAGGTACTTTGAATGTGAGTAGCCTGTATGTGTGTCCTAATAACTCAGCTTTTGGAGTTAAAAGATGGGAAGGTATTTCTCTTCTTCTCCCCTGTCATTTTTTTCAGGATATATGCTCAGGTATGCATGTCCACTGTCATACGTGACTCTAGCCAGCGCATAGCTCTGTTTTGGCATAGTAGCGTAACAAAGGCAGGGTGACTGGGACAGCAACCCCAGATGCTGATTTATGGGGGTGGGGGATGGGATTTTAATAAAATGACAATGTTTTTGGTTGTGAAAAGAGAAAGCAGAAAACCTAAATGCTAATGAAGGTTTATTTGACTCCTTAATAATCAACTGGAAACTGAGACTGACTGTTGAACATACTAAAGGGTTTTATGCTTTTGGTCAGAGGCCATCACTTTTGGCCAGTGTGTGATTTCAGGGGTGCCAGTTAACCAAGGAGACCACTTGATGCTTTGTGTAGGCCTAGGGTTTTGTTTCTGCTGGTACCATTATTTTGTCATATGACCTGTAACCCAATCTGTGTAGTATGAATAATAAGGTTTACCCTCCTTTTGAACCTATTTTCAGATCTGCTAGTGAACAGACCTTTACAAATGCAAAGCATGATGGTCATTTAGATATAAGTTGTGTAAATATTGACCCAGATACACAAATCCACCCCTGCAGCTTTGTGCTTGATGCAAAGCAATTGTAGACTCAGTTTAACAGACTGGCAACTTGCATTTATGGATGCTTTGAAAAACTAAAGTAACGTGGAATAGCCAGAACTGACCCAGCAGAAACTCATGATCAAAGTCTCCCTTCTCTTATTACCCCTCTAACATTTCTGCCAAGGTTGAACTGCTAAGGCATCTTGTCCCTCCAGATCACTAACTAACGTTCTTATTAAAAGATTAAACTTCCCCAAACACTGCTATATTCTTAAAGTATTAGAAAATTATTTTTAAGCAAATTAAGAGACAACCATTTGTGCTAGGGATAGTTTATCATAGCTCAAGCCTCAAGCTATTCTGGTGATATAAAGCAGCTGAATAAGCTTGGCTTAGTTGGTCATTTATAATCACTTTACAATTTCTTTGCATAGCCAGAGTCCACTGGCCAGCTTGGCCCAAAATGATATTTCCCAAGAAATCCTTTAGGAGAAAACTTCTATGTAGGGGATTGTTACTTTGTGTTGATTCTCTGCACAATCGATATTGTAGATAGGAATTCTGCTTTTCAATTACGTATCTTATGCTTTCCTTTTTATCTTGCTGACTGCATTTTCCTGATGTGAAAAGCTTTGTGTCCAGGTGCATTCCAGTTTCAGTAGAACTCTGGTGTATCCACTTTCACTGCACTCCGGGGAGAGTTTGATTAGATTACCCTCCTCTCCACACACATGATAATAGATGACTTTCTAAAAGCATTTTATTAGAATGAGAGCAGAGGGCAAACTTCCACTGGTAGATTGGCTGACACACATTTGTTTCACCAGATGAGATAAAAACTCTGAAGGCAATCTGTTGCAGTGTGTTGTTTTTTTATTTTTATTTCACACCTGTAGCTTGTTACCTCAATTGAGGGAATTATTAGTCTTTAAGGAATCACTTAAACATACATGTAGCTTTAAGTACTTTTTAAAGTCTCAGTGAGTCAATAGGAATTAAGCAGATGCTTCATAAATGCCTTCCTAAATAATAGCAGTTTTAAGAAGGCCTGAAATAATTTCCTTCACCAAGACCTATAGCTGCTCTTACTAACTTTATTATATTCATATTGTATTGATTACAACCATTACAATAGAGAGACAGGCAAGGATTTCTTATGGTGATATCTTTTATAGGACCAGCTACATAGTTGGGATGGAGTCAGAGAAGCTTTCAAATGCAAGTCATTTTTCATCAGGTCATTACAATGAAATTTATATAAAAAAATTGCTTTTTATATTTAACTGTATAATGTAGCTGTTTTCTGAGTGTCATAGTTGAGCCACTGGGAAACTAGCTGAATTGTGAACAGCCAGTAGATGGCAATCTCTGCATTAGAATTTTTTAAAAAGCACCATTGGAGTTTTGTCAGCTCCTGGAAACTGGCATCTAAAGTTCATTTAACAGACTCCAGGATGCATTGTAAGTCTTTACAACTGCAATTTCACTAAACTCCAGCAATGCAACATTAAAAATAAAAATGTACCATTATTTTTCCATTGTAGAACATTTACCTTAATGGGTTTAAAAAGGATAATTGAAAGTGCTGCAGTATAAATGGCTATCTATCATCCTGTCACCACCAGCCACAATTCTTGCAATTCTAGAGCACTGTGTCCTCAAACTTGCCCTTATGACACAAAATACATCCCTACAGAGTCACTTGAAACCACTTAAATTGCATGAGCCCGACTCTGTTTTCCCTTACACTGGGGTAAATCAGGAGGAAATCCATTTTAAACAATGGCCTTGTGTTGAAGTAAAAATGATGAGAGGTATATTAGGTGCTAGGACCTCATTTTTTTTTTAATGCAAAGAGAGACTTTTAGGTGGTGTAGATCAGTGTAATTCCAAAATCTTAGAACAGGACCAATGGAGCAATGCATGTGGGAAAACAATGTGGTAAAGCTGTCCTGGCATCTTCACACCAATAATACCTTTAACATGATGTTAATGGAAAAGTGAGTGTGATTTGGCCCAGCTGCTAGTTAGGGGACAGGATTTTAATTGGCTTAAATCTGCAGCCATTGGAATTGATAGAAATACTCACATTTACTTGAATGGGAACAGTCAGGCCAGCCTTGAACATTTTTGAAACTCCCACCATAGTTGTAAAGCATATACATATCTCTGACATATTGCTCCTTTTGAGCAACAGCATTCATTTTAGAGCTCTATGATCCCTCTATTTCACACAATTTGGCCCTGAACTTTGATGCTGAAAATGCTTTACATTAGATATAAAGAACCATTTACCAATGGTATAGACCTGGTTATTTACACTGAATTAATCCCACAGCGTTTTAAGTATCCCACATGAGTACTTTCTTTGTGTCCCTCATTTTGAGCTTGTGCTTTGACATATTGGGAAGTCCAAGGTCCAATCTCTATTAGGACTAAGTCAAATTAGACTCTGCTACTACACCATTGTCTTCAAGGAGACAGCTATCAGAAATTATCTTGGTTCACTGCTGTAAAAATTAGTTATTTTTTAACAGTAAAACTTTAGGAATTATAAATATTCCTTCCGTTTTTGTGGTGTTAAAGTGATGATGCAGCAGTCATAGTCTGAGAAATATATGAGAGGCAAGAATTTTTATCTGTGTGTCATTGAGGTAGAGTTAAACAAGCTTTTGGGTATCACAGTATGTTTTGTCAGGATAGCACCCACAAAAAGTCTTACCTCTCTTCAGTTTTTGTATTTTGTCATTGTTATTGTGAATTGACAGTCTCACACTAGACTTGGTTGTGATTGGATGCATCTTAAAAAGAAAAATGTTTCCCTTCTGTGTGCGTCATAGCCCTCACTGTACACACTGAAGGAAAAGTTTCCAGCTTTTTGGGTTTCCACTGGCATGTAGGATTGATTTCAGCCAGCAAAGGTTTAGATGTGGAAACTAAACATGGTCATAGAGAGACCCTCCCATTTTTGACCTATTACTCAGAGTAAGGCCTGGTGTGTTTCATGGTATACCACCTCCTTTTCATCTCACTTTCGAGCCATAGCTTCTCCATGATTAAGGGCAATGGGGTTTTCTTGGAATTGCAAGTGGTACCATTTACATGCAGTATGGATGTATTTCAGTTTCTACCGTTTTTCCTTAGGAGTGAAAGTGAGATGTATATGAAAAAGAGCTAATGTTAGTAATATGAGGGAAGTTACATGCTAGGTTCGTTTATGAAGCTCTGTCTCACAATGCCTAATACTAAGTGGCTGATAGTAAGGGCCTGATGCATTGACTTTTAACTATAGGAATCTCCCCTGTTTTCTTAACACACTTTTCCAAAAGTAGAAAATCGGTGTGAATGGAACATGTTTGCGTGTTGTTTTTTTTAAGCAAATCATATTTGTTTAAAAATACATATCTTTTCAACAGCAAGAAGTCACACAGGGAAAATGCGAGAAACATGCTTCCTATAATTGCTCTACATTTTATGAGGGACTAGAATAAGCTGCATGAGGCAGTAGGGACTGATCTATGATTTTGGATTTGGCCCTAATTGTCCACAGATATGGCACATTGACAAGTTACTAAGAGAAAATCTAGGTGTAGCAGGGCACTAAGGTGCCTGCTACTTGTAGAGCAGGGATAACTACCCAGCTGCAGGTTGCTAGAGCAACCAGAGGGAGCTAGTGACCCACACCTGCCAGCGGTCAGCTGACTGGAAGGGGCAGGGCCTGGCTCACATTTAAACCCCAGGGCTGAGGCCAAGTAGGCAATTCTCTGCTGGCAACCAAGGGGAAAGGAGCTTGGCCTGTGTGAGCAAAGGGGAGAGGTCTGACTGTGCAAGCAGCTCCTGATACTGGTGAGAAATGGAGCGCCCTTGGGGTGACTCAAATGATGTTTCGGCTGAGCAGCATGAATTTATGTTAAAGCCATGGGACTTGTGTTTTGTTTGCTGTTTGACTGGAGGTTTGGGTGAGGCTCGTAGGGAATGGAGGAGGTCTCAAATTTGGGATCCACTCCAGAGTGGGAACCCCAGTGCCAGTGAGGGTGCAGCTTTTTGGGGGCACAGACCCTGGTGCTAGTGAGGCACAGAGTGAGACAGGCCTGCGGAGAGCCTGAGTGCTAGTAAGGGGGAAGTTTGTGATGATCTAAAAGAGGCTGGGGAGGCCTAGCAGGGTCACACCCTGGTTTTGAACTTGCACCCCCTTGCTGTGGGGCCAGTGCCCGTGCCTCTGAGCCAGGGAGGGCCATGTTCCAAAAGCAAGCAGAAAAGGGGACCATGAGCCTCCAGGCACTAGAAGGAAAAGCTAGAGCCTCAAAGTCCAACCCCATCTGGTGGGTTTGGACAGGGAGGCCTAGGTAGAGAAAAAAAGGGGTCAGGCCATCCTAGGAGAGACCCCAACATATCCAATAGAATAGGCAGTCTCCCTCTTGCATAATAATTTCCATCAAGATGTGGCAGGAGAGATTAGGG